ATTCCGAAGGATTATTTGGGATTATTTTTGCACTAGATTGCATTATTATGGAGTGAATATTTTGTGGGAGAACCAAATTTACAAGAAGACCTCATTCTGCAGGTCAAAGATATTATGTTTAAATCCAAAAAATATAAATTCACTGAAAACGCAATGACTGATTTATACGGGCAATTCCAATCAAATTTATTGAAAAGCGTTTTGAAAGAAAGTGAGATGGATCCTTTGAATGCTATCAAGGATAAATTGAGACTCACAAAAAACATTATACATCTCAGGCCTGTAGAAAATCTAGCAGATGATATAGCCAATGAATGTGCAGATAAAAAAAGAAAAACATATGTCATGAGAATGGCAAAACTATTCTTACACTTGACGGAAACATTTTTAGAGGAAAGTGGATATCAGCAATCGGTCGACAATTTGAAGAAATCAATTGAATTATTAGATAAAACTACAGAAAAAACACCACTTGCACATCAACGTATGCAAAACATTCATTCTGGCGCCAAAGCAGTGAAAAACATTTTGAAAAATTTTCAGAAAAGTTTAGACAAATACAATGACTCACGTTCAGAGGAATATAACCATCTAGAAGGGGATAAAAGGAAATTATTCGATGATGAACGCGAATTGAGAAAGATGAGAAAGGAGATTTCGGACTCAAAAGATTTGGAATGGATAAGAAATGAAATCACTAAAGATATGTTAAATCAAAAACATCGAATCCCCGAAAGTAAAATCAATTTAATACGAAAGGAAGATGATTTGGAACACGTAAAACAGACTTTGGATGTAGAATTCGAGCGTATAATTTCAAATATATCTATGATAAAAGTTGCCTTGAATGATAACACATTTGGGAAGTATCTTGATGATTTCCTAAAACAATTTCGCATCATTACAAATTATCCCGATGAGGAGCAATTGAGTGATATCCTTCAACGGGAGATTGGTGACAAATTTTGTTTACTAAATGTCGATATAGTGAGAGACTCATTCGAGAGGGAAATGATTAATTTTCTAAAGGAAAAACGTGGACGATTCTATTGTGGAACAGAGGGGAAGAAATTTTTCTAGAATATGGAGCAAAAGATCAATATATTTATGAGCATTGGATTATGCATGGCTTACACTGAACGACTTGATGCGTATGGCATTTCTTTTCACGAAACATTCAAACAAATTCACAAACTATAAGATTTTTTTTCGCATAAAAGTCAAAAAGTTCTTCATATTTCTGCTGCATTTACACGCTTATGTGCTATAAAAGTGTTTCGGCAGTTAACTGATTCGGGCCAACCTGTGCTTCTCTCCCATAAGAACCAATGTATTTGACGTGACAGTGAATAGCGGTAGCGCCTAAATAGGATCTGCGGCAACTTAAGGAACTATCAATACTTCTTGTTGTTGCGAAATTCATGACAACAACAACAAGTATTGATAGTTCTTGAAAATTCCGCAAATTGCGAATAGGCGTCACCGCTATCTTGCGCCGGTCAAAAGCACAGTTTGATTCGGGCCAATTTAAGGAGCATGATAGTTGTATTTTCATTCGCTTGGGTACCATTTTACATCGAAAGAAAACCCGAAAATTTATTTTAAGTGCATTTAAATCGTGCATCCAATCAGATGATGAGTCGGTTAAAAGAAAAAGAACATATGATCTTTGTGTTATAGAATGTCGACAGGAATGTCGGAATAATGTTGAAAATATATCATATAATGAACAAAAATTGTTCAATGAGCTTTCAAACATTCTTTTAGAGAATCCGAAAAAAAAACATGTCATCATCGCTCCAGATGACGATGGACTCTCTGAAAAGTTTCGAATTCATTATGAAACTGCTTCGGAAGATGTAGGCGAAAATTTAAATGAATATTCACAACCATTTGTAGGGACAGACGTAAAAATCAAATTTGAACATTTAGATAGTGTTTCTCAAGATAAAGTCTTAGCGAAAAAAATATACTTTCAAGGGAAGAAAGATGAAGATAAAATAAGTTTTGATCAACTTATAGACAAAAACTTAGCCGGTAGAATTATTGATCCAGAAAATTTATTGAGATTGATTGAAAATGAAGAGATTCAAATCGGCGATGACAAAGCATTCTGTTCCATCGGTTATGTGAAAGATTTCTATATCGAAAGAGAGTTTAATCTCGAACAGAATCCAACGAACGAACTAAGTAATTAGCGAAGAAAATTTAGTTGAAAGAGGGAATGTACAGAAAGTGACACTTTTGGTGAACGATGCCGGTATGGGCAAATCTACAGTGTTAACAAGTGTCGCTAAAAAGATGCGACAAAACAAGAAAAATACATGGATTGTACGAATTGATTTAAATGATTATGCGGCCACTAAAAATGCACCACATAGTCTGAATCGAATTAAATTTAAGGAACATGAAATTGGAAAATGTATCGAGTTTGTATCGAAGATGGTTTTTCGCGGCAGAATGGATGCTGCTAACATCCGTTTGCAGCGTGCATTGGTTAAAGTAAGCCTTGAAAAAACCGAATCACATTATAAAAAACCACCGACTGTTATACTACTCGATGGTTTTGATGAAATCATTCCGATTTATAACAAAAAAAAGCACACTGATAAATACTCTAAAAGCAAGTGATGTCAGCCAACTTTGGATCACAACAAGACCCCATGAAAAAGATCACTTGCAAAATGAACTCAACTCAACGTCTTATTATTTACAACCATTAAAAGACGAGGAACAAATCGCATTTTTCGATAACTTTTTGAAATGGCATATTCGATGTGGTAAACCTTCGGTTGGCTCAGCAGGAGCTTCTGATCGATCCTATCCACAAATGATCAAACACTTAGAAGAAATAAAGAAAGCATCGTTAACCCCTTCGCTTACGGAAAATATCTCCAATGTATTGAGAAAATTTCCAAAAACAGGTGGAAAAATCGATGAGCTAAAAAACGAAATGAACTCTTTATCATTCACTGAATATGTGAAGAAGAATCTGCTTTCTCTATGGAAAGAAGGGGTGTTTGCTAAAGATAGCAACTTCCATGACACTAAATCTTAAAATGTTAACTTTGGTTGCGTCGGCCGAAAAACAGCTAATAAGCAAATTGGAGCCATTTGATTTATATCAAAAATTTGTAAATATTCAATTTGCCATTTTCTATCAAAGCAAAGCCAAATCCAAGCCGGGCAATCAGGCTGCTAGTGATACGCGCGGAGATCACGAAAATATCTTAATAAAGTGCACAATTCTTTGGCCGTACAAATTTTATTTCGAAAAGATTATGAAAAGAGGTTATTGCCAGATCTTTCTGTGTTAGATGAATTGAAGCAAGAAATTAAACAAAACGAAGGAAGAGGCGAAAAAGTTGCTAGAGTTGAATTTGCGATCAGAAAAACTGGAATTTATTCATCATAGTTTCGCTGAGTTTTTCTTCAGCAAATATTTAATGAACAACCTAAAACATGAGCGAGTGCAACAGATTTTCATTGAAAATATTTTGGTTGACAGTGCCTATGAAGTTATTCGTCAATTTCTCAATGATCAATTAGAAGGTTCAGATGCAATAATTGAGCTGACAGATGCTTCAAAAAAATTTATCGATCAGAACTTACGGGAGAATCCCGAAAACAATATACGCTCAATATTGACGAATGAAAATCATTTGAATATTATTAATTTTTTGAAACTAAAAGAAATTCCTTAAGATTTTGACTAGAAAAAATACAAATACCTATTTGAACCGATTAAAATGACATACAAATTTTAATTCAAATATTGATTTTTTTAAAATCCTTTTATGCAGACATTTGAAAAAACACAACAATATCAATTGTGTAATAGTATAGTAAATAGGATCATTGAAAATCTATAAATCTATGTGTAGGTAGAATATTTTAAGTCGTTTTATATTTTTATACGTTTTATATCCTCTGAAATGTTATATAAATCTATTGAAGTTCCACAAGAAATAAAATGTTGAACAAGAAAAAAAATTACTTTCACCAATTTAATTTTGTGAATTTTCTTTCAGCTGGATTGTTTTGAATCGAAAGGTAATTAATTTAATAAAAATTATCCAATTTTATGAACCAAAAATTGGGAGTCAAAATTTGTTTTTTCTTCTGAGAAATAATTGAAAATTTTCGCAAAAAATGGCAAAATCCTCAAAATATTGAAGAAAAACTGTAAAAATCTAATTAATATAATTTTTATTTAAAACGAAATTGCCCAAAATATTACAGTAAATATTTCTGTTAGCCTTATTCATGTCATATGAATTTTCAAAATTAAAATTGAAACTCGCCTCGGACAATGAATACCACTTACTTGGTTCTAAGGTTCGAACGGTGCAAGCCGAGAATGTCTCAATGATTCTAAAAAATGACATGTTGGCAGTAAGAAAAACGTCATTATGTATATTCCGCCATTAAGGTCTCAATAAATTTCCGATGAAGCTTAACCGATGAACGCATGTATTTACGCTACAGTCGTAGTTATTGAATAATTCTTCGTTACAGTTTATTTGTAATTTAGTTTTTTTGCTCAGATTTTATTGAAAATTAATTTTTATTGTTATTTTTGTCTGCACTCCCAAAAATCAGCCATATCCGTTATTAATATACCTTGTAGTAAACGCGTTCATAGTGTTTCACTGTAGTAGCAAAGAATCCTATTAAATTCCACTGTGGTATTACTACAAGAAAATTTAATAGGATACACCGCTACTACAGTGAAACACTATGAACGCGGTTACTACAAGGTATATTAATAACAGATATGGCTGATTTTCGAGAGTGTGAATTCAACTTTTTCGGAACACAAAGATCAAGTCCTCATCGGTGCCATTTGCTGTTCGAGCTTCAGTCAGCTTGCGATAGGACATAACACAAACATCTACGGAAAAAAATTCATACAGATATTAGACGATTCAGATTAATGATAACCTAATATTTTTAATTTTTTCAATTTTTCTGTTTAAATTAAAATCAGGAAAAATGAAGATTTGCCAGTCGATTGCAATTTTTTTTTGCATCAATCAACTCATGTCCACTTACGGTCATCCATGGCTGGATTCCTATAAAATACACTGCCAATACGATTGTCATATCCACAGAGCACAATGTAATGGCCCGAAAATTTCGTCTTGGGTTTGTTTATTGAGAAACACTTTCTGTGAAATATACAAAATTCATCGCTTGATTTAACTATGAAATTTAAGAGTCCATAGACATTTTCATTTTCTGTCTGTCAACCCCACCTAAATTCCTCTAAACATTCCGACTCTTTTGTTTTGCAAAGGTCACAATGCAGTAAATATCCATTGGTAAGTACAATCACCGGCCCATTCTCCGCTAGATGCTTCAATAAAATTCGATTGTCAACCGTTCTCTTTTGAATATTCAAGCCGTCGCAGGTGGCCGAATCGAATTTGTTGCTCACTCGTATGTGGTCTTTCCAGAGAATCGGACCATAGTAATCATGGTTACGAAAAGTTGGATTGACTCCCACAGTTATCGTGGTGTAAATATGCCGAATGTCAAATCGACGCAATAAATAGCATAAATCAATCGTCCAAGTACTGCAAGAAACCAAAAAATGAGCAAAATTTCCTTCACTTCAATTTAATCAATTGAATTTATGCTTTTGTCTACCTATTGCCAAAGCCTTCTTCCTCACAAACTCGATTGAAATTCCGTAGAAAATCCTGGCGTTGTCTCCGTGTTAGCATCATCATAACACAGGAAATACCACAATCCCAATCAGTGCGCTGCTGATAATGCACCACTGAATGACGATGAAGCGGCGGCAAGTCGGGATCGGCTTCATTGACCATTGCTATGAATGAAAAAATATTATCAAAAATTCCAAGTTTTTTTATTTCAAATTATTTTTGGGTGTCTCTTGTTTTCCCTCATTTACCTTTCAATCGACACTTTCTTCGTGCCATTTTGCTTGCAACAAGTATTCACAGCTCAAAATCCGTGACCGAAATGAAACCCATTACTCATGTCTTCTGTTTCTCCAGTTCTTGTTAGAAGTATTACACTCATTCCGTCACCAAATTTCGAGTGTATCGATTACCGTTCAATGTTATCATCGGAGTAATTACGATAGTGTCATCGGTTGCATTAATAAATAAATGGATTCACGCAAATCGATTGTTTTGTTCTATTGCGGCACTTCAATTAACTCATTCATCGTTTGTTTACCTCTGAGAATTAGGTGAATGAAAAGTCAATCGACTGACAGTTGCTTGACAACAGTAACGCATCGGCTGTGTACCGCAAATGTATGCGTTCTGACTGGAATTCGATGATGGATTGCATGACGTTCAACGCAATTTGATTATTTTCTGTTTTTTTTTGTTCATTGAACTATGACGAATGGAATTAACTGGTTTGAATTGTGGTATTCCGAAACTAACAGCAGTCAAAGTTCAATAGCCAGATTGACCTAAATCACATGACTTTATAGATTCGGCAAATTGAACACACCTAATAGCAATCCACATCACACAGAGTATATATGTTTTTGAATTGTCAACGATAAAAGAGAAACTGCTTGTTCTAAAAATAAATTAAAATATTCAAAAAAATTTAGAAATAACTTGGACCAAAAAGTAAAAATTCATGATTTTGATGATTCATTATTAAATTTCGTTGAAACGATTATTCATTTTAAATTTCCGCGAATGCTCAAGCAAGAATTGTCACAAACAACACATGCGTCAAATTCAATCGAACGTCAAATTCTCACGATGTCACAATTCCCGCCGAACTATTTTTTTATCAGTCATTAAACAGAAGCGATCATAACAAACAATATATCACTAAACAAAAGCAAATACAGCTTTGAATTGAAGAAACTGGTACAATTATTGACTCTATTTATTCTTTGTTGAAATAATTTTGGTTCAAATTTGCGAGGGGCAAATCACTCTAAAGTAATTTGTAATAGAGCAAGTAATCGAGAAAGTAATTTACGTGTAAAAATCTCGATTAATTTTCAAAAGTAATCGAGATTTTTACACGTAAATTACTTTAGAGTGATTTGCCCCTCGCAAATTTTGCTTTTTGCAAATTGAATCATTGTTTTCATTATTTTACTTTTTGACTTTTTCCTTTTTGTGTTGTTCACTGAACTAATTTCCTTGATACAAGCACTTGGTCAATTGTTTTTTTGTGTTGGCAAAGTTTTGAATGAGTTCAGATTTTCGAGGAATGTTGTATATATGCATAATTTTACGGTTGTTCACATTGTTTTGTACTATCTTTTTCGCCTCTTTTTATATGAATGGGCAAGCGGAATAATGAAACGTAATTCTGTTTTTAGATGAAGTGCCTCTGGGAAAATTTTTCAGTAAAAGTGCCCCACAAAAATATTGTCTGAATAAACGACACGTGAATTTGTTTTCATGCAAAAAAATTCATGTACCACTTTTACTGAAAACAAATTTACGAGGCGATTCAAATTGAACATTTTTCGTGGGACACTCTTTCATACAATATTTTTCGGTGACGTCACTCGTATTTATCACATAGTGCAAATTGAGTGATAAGGAGCTCGAATTTCGATGTGGCGATAACACCAATGGATTGGGCACAAAAAATACTGTATTAGAATCGAAAAAAAAAAATT